GGTCTGAATCCTGTCATGGAGATAGCTGTAACTGCTCAGTGACACAGACAAAACAAGCGTGGTGTGCAAATGGCTCACATGCACATCAGAATAAAGCCATCACCATAAAGTAACAGTTACTACTTCAGCCATTCGCCTTGCTAGCAGTCTCTTCTAATGACTATTCTGCCATGCTATTTAAGCAGGGGTGAGGGAAGCTGCTTCCAACACCGCCTTTTTGCAACCTAGTCTACAGACAATGCTCTAGAAGCGTCAATCTGCTTAGTTACTCATTCACTCATTTGCGCAGAGGGGGCAAAAAAAAGGAAGGGTATTAGTCAAAGAGGGATGGGTATCCTCTGACATCCCTAGCACCTCACCTAGAAAACACATGTGGCAGAAAGGCCAGCTTCAGTCTTCCTCATTCAATCCAAAATGCTCTGTGCTTTACTCTAAAGTATTGCTCTTAGACTTGTTCTGCTAATTTTGATATTGCTCCTTTTAAGTCAAGGTAAAAAAAAAAAAAAAAAAAAAAGATTTTGGCTAGTGAGTAAGCCTCACTCACTATGATTACAGAGCTGAAGTTATCAAAAGCTCTTCCTGTGACAGTGCCAAATTAATGAACAAAAGAGCAAAGTCACCATGACTCCCTTTCCCTCTAATCTTTCCCTCCAAATGTGATTCACAGAAAGACAGTAGAAGCATATAGGTTATGCATCACATGGAAAAGAATCTTGGAGGAAAAATGTAACATATTGCACCAAAAGAACAACAGCCCTGTATATTACCTCTCCTTCAGACAAAAAACAAGCACCACTTACCCAAACAATCACACTGGAAGGTTAGAGGATTGCTCTGCTTATCAACAGGCTCTTTGAAAAGCACGCAGACTGGAAAGATACACATACAAGAGGACAAACAAACACAGGCTGTCTTTTCTTTTTACCTATCAAATGGAAAACTTGTTTGTAAACCAGGTGGATATTACAACCCAGAGTTTATAAATAAATGAATAAATAACCCCCCTAAAAAGCCAATCAATAGTCAGCAGATGGACTTCACTGTTTCAACAACAAAAAAAAGCTGTTTGAAAAAGTGCTTTATATTGTGCTTGCACTAGTCACTGCTGCAGGTTATTGATCTTTTACAGACAAACAGCCTCCATTAATACATACTTGTGTTAGCCTGGCAATTTATCCTGAAAAGCTTGACCCTCAATGTTACTCATCTGCACGAGGCACTGAGTAACAGGCAGTGTTTTCAACGATCTAGTTTGGCATACATATACCATTCCCATCAGCTAGATTGCTGAAGCCTTTTTTTATGCATTCTCTCCGTGGAGGAGAAAAAAAAAAAAGTCATTGTTTGATCAGATAGAAAGAACTTGAAAAAGTTAAAGAATCTGTAAAGCTGTTCAAAGGACAACCCGCATCTCAGGTAACCTGGAGTCTTTAACTACCATGTTTTCATCTCATATCACGATAAAGAACAGTAGCAGGATGGAGTCCACCACAGATGCAAGACGCTTCACTAACATTGTGGGTTACTTTCTAATTCTGATACCTTATCTGCCCAAAGTTACACATTTGAACAGTCTAAGCAAGAGTTTGACACACTGAGGTTGTTTAATATTCTTAAGTATCAATTGCAGTATATTAATGCTGATTTCCTACATCTTAGAGTAACAAACAAATTCTGAAAATAGGTTGAAAGACCAGATATATTGGTCTTTCAATCTGGACTGATTAGAATATCTATAGAGATTGAAGAATGAGGGACCACTTCAAAAATGAAAACAGATCTTAAATGGCAAGGAGAATAGAACCAGCATATCCCGAATAGTAGCATTGCTTCTATTTCTACCTTTCTTTATAAGTGTTAATGCTGGCTGGTATGCAAGGCAGAGCTTTAAATTCACTTTTGTACAACAGACCTCAAATACATTTGAAGGCAGGGGGTGTCTGTTTTTTGTTGGTTTTGTTTCTTAACATTGGCACAAGAAATGATACAACTCAAAATGAAACATACTAAAACTGAATTTATGCCCCCATGGGTTCTATTAATTTCTTATTCTGAGGAATCTTGATTCTTACAGTGTAAAGAATATCTAAAACAGAGCTGTACAAGAACAGTTAAAAATTAAGGTTGTATCATCATCAGGAATTGAAATCCTTGTCTTGTTAAACAACACTAGTGAAAATACAAACTTGTCTATAGATGTACACGGTGCATCTCTGCCACCCATGCTTTTCCTTCACCTTTCAGAAACAGCAGTTCCAAGCCAATTGCATCTGAATTCGGATGCTCAATGGCGCAGTCCTGGGACAAAAATTAAAAAGCAAAAACATATCGGCGCACCAAGGTTTCTTGAGTATTGATAAGTCCGAATGACTTGGCAAAGTTTACACTCACAAATAACGAATCACACCTACCAATAGTTAACTGGGGATAATATAAAGAGATCATCAAGAATAATTGAAGAGAATACCAAACATGCCACATATCTGTCTCAGAGGCACTAAAATATACTGCATCAAACACATGGAAACACCAATTTTCCCGTGTGGACACTTGAATTAACAGAAATGGAAAGACAAAATATATTCAGTAAGTCCTCTTTTTGCTACTGTTTCCACTGTGTAAATCTAGACCTGTTCTATTGACTTCAATATTTCATATTACATCAGTGGGAGACCACAAGTTGCTCATAAAACAGAAATAGCCATCTACAAAATTAATAGAATTAGACTCCTGTGGAAAAAAAAAAGTTCTACCTAAGAGCCTGATGCATTTCTAAATAATAGCAAGGCTTCAGGTTACACAGAAGTTATCTCCCCCTGCCATTACTTGCACTAAAATCCAGTCTAAAGAACATTTAATTCAATTAACATACAAGTGCCTATACTTCCATTAGACTCAGGTATAACATAGCAACCATATCTAACAGACAGGAACAGGAAGGAAGCCTTCTCCTTCTCCACAACCCACACCACTTCATAACTTCATCAGACAACCAGGAGTAGAACTATGTCTTCAATGTCCCAATACATGGAAAAGACTAAAAAAAAACACAAAAAGATGTTATACGCACTTTTTGAAGATCCTGATTGAAGTCTCATTGTGTTCCAGGAGAAGTCCACATGACTTACCTTTCCAGACCAATTTGAAACCCACACCCTGCTGTGAGCATTTCTAAATCACCAGCCAGGCCTGACACTGGGAGGCTGAATACTACGTTGCCCACATCACCCCCACTCATATCAAACCCCCGTCTCTGCTCTGCATGGTTTCCAGCTGCTAGCTTTCAAAAGCAGCAAGGAATCCCCAATTACAGACACAGGAATCTGGCTTCCCGACACTTCAGAGCCTGCTCTGAGTCATTAGCAATGGCGTAACAAGGGCACTGCAACATTCTGGAGCTGTGAAGCCCAGCACATTAAAAACAAACCTGACAGTATCAATAATCTCTTCAGAGATTTCCTGGACATATACTTAAATACAGCACAACAGGATTCAAAGTAGCATTTCCTTTACGCAACAGTTTTATAATGTGCTATGGTTAGCAAGCCTAAACTGAATGACTGAAAATGTACTGCAAGAATGAGGAACTGGGTCTCCGATTGACAAAAGCAAACCAGAACATAGAAAATCGGAGCCAAATCTTGGGGCTCCAATATGAAATATGTCTTCTGGACCCAAAGGAGTCATTCTGGATTCCAAAATAACCCAAAATTAGATGTGGCATTACAGCCTACAAATCTGTGTCTGTAGTAACCTCCTTATAAAGCCCCTGTCAAAGTACGAATGCTGATAGGCCTTTCGTTCTTAGGAGAAAGGGGAAACCAATGCAGATAACACCACATTTTATGAATGACTCAAAAAAAAGCTTTTTGGCCTTCAGCAGAAACAGACTGTCACCACATGTTAAACAGCTTGTCATTTGCGCCATCAATTCAGCCACATCTCAAACTTATAGGGGAAAGGTTGCAGATATGACAGTGCTGTGGCACCAATACTGCATGGACCTCGCTAGTCCCACTAATAAAGTCTACCTCAAATCCCCTTAATGAAAAGCAGCAGCTTGTGAGACGCAGGTGGTCAGAGTGCACTATAAGAGTCTTTTCTGCTCTTAGAATTTACAAGCACAAAGAACCAACTTATTGAAGCCTACTGTTATGCTTACTACAGCACTTATAATACGCTCCTTTGTTCCCCGCCTCGGAGCAGGCAGGGAGAAGGGGACTAATGGCCACCTTAAATAATAGAAGTGGGGAGAGAGTAGAGCTGAACTGGTCTGCTCCCTCCAGGCAGGAGCAAAGACCATATCAGGATGAGCAGAGGGAATGTCTGAAAGCTGATTATCTGCCCCCAAAGGAAGACTTCAGGGTTTTATTTAATTATTTTATCAGCGATCTGAATAATAATTGGCCAAGAAGAAAATGCAATGTTTTGAGATCAAGCAAAACAATATGCCAAGAAGCACAAAACTGTTGCTGTATGTTTAATTGACCACCTTGTTTTAACTGAACATTCTAGCAAACAGCACCCAATTTTTCATCTTAGCATACAGGTAGTAATTCAGTAGAAGACAATCTAGAACACTGGTCGGCAGTTTTACATGGATTCCGTGTCTTTGTCACCAAGGTTTGAATGAAAACCTCAGGGCATAATTCAGTACACAAAACCCAGCCATTTTGTACCTATGTAAATATTACACACAATATATACAAGTCATTTCTGGTTTCTCCAAACCAGGAATTCCATTAACATCAATTGCAATCGTTGGTCTGGTTGAGTTAGCTTTTAAAAAGAAGAAAAAAAACCCAAAACTAACCAATACTGAATTGCATATTTTCATTTTGACGAGAAAAAAAAATAACCTGCTCTATGCTTTTGAAACTTGCCAGAAAAAAACAGTTTGGCTTTGATGTTGTATTTCAATTGAAAGTAAAACTAATCATTTGTTCTCTGTGTTCCCATCTGTCAGAACTCACAGCTCACCAATGGAAAAGCCTACTTACGATCATTACACTGGCTCCCAGAATATGAAGTCATGGAGCAATCACAGGTGAAGCCTTCCCATTGCTGATTACAGATGCCCTGATTCGCACAGGAATCTTCCTGGCAGGTAGTACTTGGTCCTGGAGAAGGGATGACAAGAAAAGGGTGAAACAAAGCTGAGAGACAAATTTTAGTTAGGCAAACAAAAGCTCCAATTTATCGTTACCATTATTATCAGGATCCTCATGCAGAAGAGAAAAAGCACTAACCAAACACTTTTCCATTCTTGGACATGCAAGAAACTCCGGTAAAAAGAGCACAAAGACAACTGTACACTCCACAACAAAACAGCAAACTAACACAGAGCAAGGAGGAAGAATGAACAGCAACATATTCCCTCTTAGGCAGGCACAACTCATATGTTCAGTGCTTGCTCAAAGAAATTTACTGTAAAATATGGTGTGATGCAAGGATAACAAACACTGTCAGGTTGTTGTGCTTCCCTGGAAGTTTGATCCCCTTGTAGAAACGAATGCTAAGAAATGAGCCCATGAACAATGCTTCATCCTACCCAAAGAACCCTGATATGTGGATTCAAACTGAAGTTCTGAAACTTCAGTTTGCTAAAACTTTGCTTCATAGGTTAAGCAAAAAAACCCCAAACAAACAAAAAACCAAAGACTCTGAGTAGTGCCATTACATAGGTTTATCTGGAAACACGTCAATAAAGTACTCAGAATGACACTTCTCTGTTTTGGACTGGTTTCCAAAGCTTTTGGGGGAAACAGAGAAGGAAGGAGCCACTACTAACAGAACAGCCTTTCACTGTTCTGTGATTTGGGCTAACAGTTGCTATCCTACATGGATAAACCTTGCAAAGACACAACTGAAGCAACAGGCAAAAAAGTGATCTTCAGATCAGAGGGACTCTGAATGACAGCTAGTATGTCATCCACAAGGAGGTAGCTGGATTCTGAATCACCCAAGAGCAGATGTGAAGCTGCAAGCCATAGATTATAAGAACATGACTTTAGAAGTTACTTCCTGGGAAAGCATTTTATCTTCAGCATTCTAGGCAAAGGTATGCTGCTCCTATTGTGCAGTACTTCAAATAAAATGTACAACTATAGTTGTCATACCTACTATTCTATACCCTGAACTTGCTGGAAAAGAAGCAGCAGCAAAACAAATAGAGTGGATAGTAGAGGATCAACTAGATAGGCTGTCGGAGATCAGTTTGTTAACCACTTCCAGTACCAGATAACAGCATAAGGATAAAGCAACAACTGTTCTACCCATCCCACAATCTTCCGTCACAGTCTTTGTTTGCAACAGGAATTCCATGAGGCTCATCCTACTCTTCATCACATCAGCACCACCTTCTGTACTTTATAGATGAGATAAGCACATTGAGGAACAGGGAGTTATTGGAAGTGGTCAACACGGATTTACCAAGGGTAAATCATGTTTGACCAATTTGATGGCCTTCTGTGATGATGTAACTGGTTAGCTGGATGAGGGGAGAGCTGTAGATGTCATCTACCTTGACTTTAGCAAGGTTTTTGACACTGTCTCCCATAACATCCTCATTAGGAAGCTGAGGAAGTGCGGGTTAGATGAGGTGACAGTGAGGTGGATTGAGAGCTGGCTGTGTGACAGGACTCAGAGGGTTGTGATCAGTGGCA